CCGGCCCCGCCCCCCCGACTGCTGACGTGTCCCTGGGGCCGGGCCCCCCGACCGCGCCGCGCCGGCGCCTCACCTGCACGCCCAGGTAGGCGAGGCGCGGCTCGAGACCGGGCTCCAGCGCCAGCTGGAAGGCGCCTGCGGGCCCCGCGCCGCCCGGAGGGTTGGCCAGGTTCAGCTCGGCCGACACCTTGGCCAGGTGCGTGCTGAGGTCCAAAGTGCGCTTCGCCTCTTCCAGCACCAGGTCCGGGGCCGCCAGGGTACAGCCCAGGCACAGCAGCAAGTGCCACGCGAGCCCCGCCATCGCTGCCACCTCCTGCGCCGCCGCCGCCGGAGAAGGCACAAGATGGCGGCGCCCAGGCCGAGGGAGGGACAAGATGGCGGCGCTCATTGGGGGCGGGGCACAAGATGGCGGCGCCCGGGGCCGAGAGGACCCCGTCCCCATGGCAACTGGGAGGATTCCTCAGTTGCCGGGGAGGTGGGGCCTGAAATTGACAACCTCCACCCAGCCCCGAGTTGTGACTCATAATCACCAACTGTTTCAAGGGTTTCTTTGTGTGATGTCTTTTATTTGACCACCTCTATAGACGGGATAGAGTTAGACAAGCTTTCCAGTGCAAGCCATCCTTCATCAGGTCACCAAAGACACTGTCTCAAAATAAATCCTTGCCTCTCCCCTAATTTTTACTGGAACGTGTTTTCATTTGCTATACCAATACATTATGTAGAACAGCACATCATACAAATAAGTCCTTGCCTATCCCCTAATACCTGCACCACTGGGCCTCCCCCAGCACCATCGCTCTTAGCACTGCCAACTATTTGAGGCCCTGTCATAAAATCATCAGAGTCAACAGCACTGGGCTAAGCATTCAGTGAAAAGCTAAGGCGGAGCAGGCTCGCATGCATGGACTGTCCTAGGATGGGAGAGGAGACCATGCAAGAGCCGTAGTCAGGTCAGGTCTTGGGTGGAAACCATCCATGTCGATTAGACCCAAAAGCAGCCCTGAATCGGTGTTGTGGTCCCTAGCTAAAGGGATAGATGAACGATTGCATTTTTGCAAGTGCCCGGGAGGGCAATGTTATGCTTTATAGTTGCTATGGAGAAAGGGTGCTGGTGTCCGAAGAGACGGACCCAGGTGCGGTGTTGTGTGGGTGCTGGGGAAGGTGGTTCTCTCAGTAGGACGCCTGTTGGGTGTTGGTGGCTGGGACCAGACAAAGTGGTAACAGTATTCTTTTAATTCTCTCTTCCATCCTGAATTTGTGAGCTCTTCTTTTCTGATAGTTTGCCTTTTCTGACTGCCACTTGTTACTCTTCTTTTCCCAGATTAAAAAAGTTTAATTAAACTGAACCAAAATCTAAAAAGTTTGTTAAGAAAATCAAAACTGTCAAGTGTCAGCGCTAAAGTAAAACGTTAGCAACTCAATAGCAAAAAGGGGCCAGAGCCAGAAACCCAAAACAACTAAGACAAAGTAACTAGAACTGAATTAACCCAGGCAAACAGAAGTTTTCATAGAAGCTTTATTGGCTGAACAGATGATTGTGCATTGAGATAATTGCCACTCTGCACTAAATACCTAAAATAGATAATATCAAGATACAGATTATGTCATGTTTGACAGCTCCTCAGTGCAAGTATCAGTTTTCTCTGATTATTCAATGGGGTGTGATAAGGAGCAGGGCTTCTGTGCTACCACAGTACAAGTGAAAAATAACTTTGCAGAACTAGGCAGAGCCTGCCAAATGTGAGAATTAGGGTCAGAGCATGGGAGCAAACATCCATGGCTACTGGATGGTAAAAACCATGGACTAAACACAAACATTTTTTAAATGATTCATCACAATTGACCCACTTCCTCTGCTAACTTCTGTATTCCACATGTAATGACAACCCTCTTTTGAATGGTCTTATTCTTTTACTTAATTATCTCTGTTTCACCTGACCTTTACTTGGTTTGTAGCTATTTTGGATAACTTCTTTTGGCTCCACAGTTCTACTGGCCTCTTTCCCTTCTGTAAATGATTATTTTCATTTGCATGAGAGTTAAACAGAGATCACTGTTTTACCTGGTATTTATCTTAAGCCATCTGCTTCTTTCTTAGATCTGAAGAAGGGCATTTGGTGCCTGAAAACTTATCTAGCATCTGTCCCAACTGTAGAGCTGGTTCAGTAAAAGATATCACAGAATAAATTGTCTCAGAAATATGGTAAGGACATTAGCTAAAGATGGTCCCAAGATATGAAATTTGGACTTGGAGCCAAAGTTTCCCAGTAGCTGGGGGAGATCAGATCTGATCCAGGTGAGGCCTCTGGTACCAACAATATAGAATGATGTAAATGCCTCCTTTTATTTCTTCTCTATCCCTTTGATCCCTGGACTGCGTGGTGGAGACTTCTCACCAGACAAGCTGCTTCAATGTTTGTATTTTACTTTGATTAAATGAGTGCTAGTGTAAGTCTGACAGCTTGGGAAGTAGAATGCAATTAGCACCATAAAAGTATAGGAGGGAGCAGTTTCACTCGCCCAATCCTGCCTGTGTGTCTCAAGCAGTGGCTGCATTTTGGTGATATTTCCAGGCAGCACACTAGCAACCAAAAAATGATATGGTCTGGAGAGATCCCAGAGGCAGCAGTCGTGTTCTCTTCTCCCCCAAGCTGTGGGAAGCAGATGGGGTAAGAAAATGCACGAGGCTCCTTTGGCTGGCTCAGGCCTGGGTCCCATTTTCTCATGAGGAGAAACTTAGTAAATGGGAACGTGCTTCCTGTTCTGACAAAGACTGCTTAGATTAGGAAGACGGAAATGTGATGT